GAATTTATTCTGGACCAGTGCAAGGTCTAGAGTTGCATATGGTTACTTTGGTGATGTAGTTGCAATAGATACTACCTGCTTAACGGACAAATACGAAGTCTCACTGGTTTCGTTTGTTGGAGTGAATCATCATGGACAGTCTGTGCTGTTGGGTTGTGGTTTGCTTGCAGGTGATACTATCGAATCATATACCTGGTTGTTTAGGGCATGGCTCACATGCATGTTAGGACGTCCTCCACAGGTCATCATCACTGATCAGTGTAGAACCCTGCAAACTGCTGTTGCTGATGTTTTTCCCAGAGCTTCACATTGTCTTTGTTTGCCAAGGATAATGGAAAAGGTTCCAGAGAAACTGGGTGAACTGTATGAATATGAATCAATTAGAATGGCATTACATAATGCAGTTTATTACTCTCTAAGGCCTGAGGAATTCGAAGCCACATGGGAAGATATGATCCACCATTATGGAATCGGGGATCATATGTGGCTTCAAATGTTATATGAAGATCGCAGACGATGGGTTCCTGTTTACTTGAAGGAGACATTTCTTGCAGGAATGCTTCCAACCCGGCCAAATGAGGTGGTGGATTCATTTTTCAGGGGCTATCTTGATAGACATACTTCTTTGAAGGAATTTTTGGACAAATATGATCAAGCCCTACAGGCAAATCATCAGCTGGAAGTTTTGGCTGATATGGAATCAAGAAATTCGGGTTTTATGATAAAATCCAGATGTTATTTCGAGTTGCCGCTTGCAAAACTGTACACAAACATTATCTTAAGGAAGTTTGAACAAGAGGTTGAGGGAATGTACTCGTGTTTTAGCACGAGACAAATAAACGCCGAGGGACAAGTAATTACATACATGGTCAGGGAACAAACTGAAGTAGATGGAAACAGAAGGGAGACTAGGGACTTCGAGGTTTTGTACAATGCAACCCAAATGGAGGTGCTTTGTGTTTGTGGTTTGTTTAACTTTAAAGGGTATTTGTGTCGGCATGCACTGAGTGTCCTTCACCAAAATGGCATCGAGGAGATCCCACCTCAGTACATTCTATCACGATGGAGAAAAGACATTAATCGGAGTTATGTTCTGAATCACGACCACAGTGGTATTGATGTTAATAACCCAGTTCATAGGTATGATCATCTGTACAAATGCATTATGCAGGTTGTTGAGGAAGGCCGGAAATCAGAAGTTCGATATAAAGAAACAGTTCAAGCTTTAGACCGGATATTGAGCAAGCTTAATCTTGTATAGGATCGTTCATAAATATTATTTTAGACCCTAGAGCCTTGAAGTTGTGTGCTTGAATGCTTTCATGTATTTGCCAACTTTTTTCTTTCATTTAGCTTTTGGATAAACTACCTAAATGCTCACCCGACTTTTATGCTGCCAAAAAATATCAGAAATTATCATTGGGGTGACTAAAATGTTAGCTGTCGCTAGGAGTTCTAACGGTTGGGTGCCTACAATGTTAACTCTTTAAAAGTTGAGTGACTAAATTTGAAAGTATTTTTTAAGCAACCAAGACATTAACACCCTAAAACTTGAGTGCTCATTTAATTAGTTTACCACTATTTTTTGGTTGCATGAGTTTTTCATTCAACATTAACTGGTTTGCGATTTCAATTTTCTATCAAGTTTCAACATAAAAATATCAATCCTTGAACCATAAACAGTAACAGAATGGGCTCATGAATCTTTAACAATCACATCTTGGAGTCGAGACATGTCACCGGTTGAAGGGGACGGGAGTAAAACTCAACCACTTGAAACATGTCCTACCTCTTCAAGATCAGATACATATCCACATGATCTACACAGTTTAGTCAATCCCCTCAAGGCTCCATAAATTTCCTTTGTTTCGGGGCGCCTCTCATCTAGGGAGTAAAATTCAACTACACTGTCATTAACCTCGATCGAGCTACAACCGGGTATTTTCTTATAACCAGTATCTCGCATCGCAACTTTTAATCTTGCTACATCTTTCCACCTACCAAGATCCCCATATATGTTGGCCAGCATGACAAAGTTTGCAGGATTTTTTGGCTCGAGTTTACCGAGCTGTTCAAGAGCTAACTCGGCAACTTCAACGTTTTTGTAAACCCGACATGCTCCAAGTAAGGCTGCCCAAATAACCGCATCTGCTTCCATAGGCATCTTCCTCACAAAATCCAGAGCCTGTGGTAAAAGACCAGCTCGGGCTAGAAGATCAACCATACAACCATAATGCTCAATCTGAGGCTCAATTGAGTAATCATCAACCATTGATTGGAAATGTGCAAGACCATCTTCGACTAAACCCATATGTGTACAGGCACACAAAACTCCTATGAAGGTAATTCCATCTGGAATGACTCCAACATTCTTCATTTGAGAAAAGAGATCTAAAGCATCAGCTCCACGGCCATGCATTGCTAATCCCCCAATTATTGTGTTCCAACTTATCAAATCCGTCTTACCCATGCTCTTGAACACATCAACAGCATTCTTTATCATCCCACATTTTGCATACAAATCAATTAACGCATTCCCAACATAAACGTTTCCTTTATATCCATTATTCTCTGCATATATGAACCCATTTCCCCAAATCCAAAGCTCCTAACCTGGCACATGAAGACAACACAGTTACAAGTGTAGCATCATTAGGAAGAACATCGCCATCACTGAACATCCTCTTGAAAGCATCTAAAACCTCCAAGAAAAATCCATTCCTTGCATACCCTCCGATCAAACCATTCCACGAGAACACATTCCTCTCAGGAATCTCTTCAAACAACCCCTCACAAGCCTCAACATCGCCATTAATTGAGTAGCCCTGCAAAATTGTATTCCATGACATAACATCCTTATTTGGCATCTGGTCAAAAAGCTTCCTTGCTTCCACCATATCCCCCACTTCGATATAACCTGAAACCATAGTATTCCACAACACAATATCGCGCTCCGGTGCCAAATCGAAAAGACACTTGCCATAACTAAATCGTGACAAAGGATAAACCCATTAATCATTGCAGTCCAAGCAACAATATTCCTGTCAATCATTTCATTAAACACTCTATAAGCTGCTCCTATCAGTCTCCAACCAGAATACATCTCAATTAACGTAGTTCCCACAAAATGGTTTCCTTTGAAACCACACTTTATCACGACAGAATGCACCTCCTCGCCTTCTCGCAAAGCATTACACTTCAAACAAGATTTCAGAACAAGAGGGAAAGTATAACAATTGGGCGTTGCAAAATCCATGCTTTTCATCTGACTAAATGATAATATAACTTTCTCATGAAATCCGTTTTGTGCATACCCTTTAATCATTGAATTCCATAGAGAAGTGTTTGGTTCAGGATTTCTATCAAACAATTTCTGTGCAATGTCAATTTGCTTCAGTTGGATACAAGCTGTCGTAAATCTTGGAGTTATGTATTGGTTCTTGTCAAAGCCATGAGTGAATATTTGTGTTTGTATTTGGAAGAGATGCCTTAAGGTCTTACATGATTGTAAGAGATAAATAAACTTCTCTTCGAGAAGCCTGTGAGGAAGCTTTTGAGCAAATGGAGCTATTGTGAAAGAAGAGTGCCGCTAATTTCAACAAAAATGGTTACGTTTTGAATATGGCGGATTCAGGTTTCTATTTGTATATTAGCAAATGGGCTAAATACTAGAAGGCCTGCATGCCAAACCCACAGCTTCACAATTGAGCTGTTTATCTCGAATCCGCGGAAGCAATGTTGAAGCCTACCAACGGCTGAAACAAGAGCATCCAAGGAATCAATCAACACGTCAGTCACAAGATCGAGAAATCCTCTACTTAATGTGTTGATTTCAACAACAAAACAACGTCATGAGATATCGTTGAACACCGTGAGAACAAGAAAAAATTACGAGTCAAAGAAGACATCAAGAGTGTTCTCCGATAAGGAAAACTACGGTGGTTTTTGCATGAATGGACCACGTCATAAGAGAGGCTCTTAGTTTTGTTAGAAACGAGAGCGATAGGGAGGACAAGGAATGTTAAGGGAGCGCGAGAATAAAGTAAATCAATGAGGGTACGTTAGCCGCATGCAGAGATCAGCTTAGAAGTAGAAACCCCTACATCTGGCAAGATTACTCAACGGCACTATAAAGGAATGGGGGAAAGACGATGCTTTTTTATTTTTATAATAAACTATCGGCAAATTCTCTCATTTGTCATTTCTACTTTACTTATAAACATGTTCAAAAGTCTCGTTACTTAGATCGGTTTAATGATTCGAGTCCATAAATCATAACAGATTTAAGCATACACAGTTTTTTTTTCTTAAAAAAATCTTAGTTCGGTCTATACTACTTAAATTATTATTTATGAGATAAGATCCTATTACACAATATAAAACATATTTAAGACAGTTTGAAGAATGAAAATAGACAGTTGAGATTAACTGTAAGAAATGAGAAGATATTCACTGAGAAAAAATAAAAAATTAATATCAACTATTTGCTTTCACTCATCCAACGGTCCTAAAATTTGCATAAAACTAAAAGAGTTTTATACTATATAAGTGGATCTTAACCCATTATTTATTCATAAAAATATAAAGATCAATACAAAATAATAAAATATAAGAAATAAACAATATAAAAATATCATTACCCAATTTCTTTATACATGAATTTTGACAACCATATAATAATCTTTCAATACATAAATTTTGACATTTCCACGATAATCTGAAGCCTAAATACAACACTTTTTACTAGAAAAACAGAGAATTTTTTGACAACTCGATACGGTACTTGGAAAACAAAACAAGAAACCTTAACATTAAAGACATGAAACAGAACCAAAACAAATAATACTAAAACACAAATGTGTCAATTTTTCCAACATGAATTAGTAACATATCAAAATTTATATGAATTCATAATATTTAAAGACAATTCTAAAGAAAAAGGCAGGAATACATGAATCACCGTGTCAATTGGACACAATGATAAGCCTATGGGCTCTTGAACTAGACACAATAAGTTGCATGAGAGACACATCGATTCAATCAAACAGATTGAGCTAATTGTATGGTCATAACTTGCAAGCTAAACACTCCATCTCTATGCCCCGTCTTAATCTTTAGAACACATGGAGCTGCTTTATTGTGTTTGTCTCAAATGCATCCTCAAGGTAAAGTTATTTATCTGCAATACAAGCAAACATTAAAGTATTATTTTTCTTATAAATCTTATCACCTAAATGCATGATCTCATATTGGACAACAATAAAAAGAAAGAGTTGAGGAAGATCTTGATTCTAACCTCTAGAGTTCGCAACTGCTCCTGATACTGAGACACCAACTGCCTCAACTGTTGCAAGTCATAGTTTTTATCTTCATATTCCTTTTGGCGTTCATGCTGGATAGCCACGGCTCGTTTGAGGACTCTATTTTCTTGAATCAAAACTTCAATCTGTTCCTTTAACATAACATTTCCTGACAGTTGAAATACATTTGACTGAACAAGGTGACTATAAACAGTTTCAAAGCAATGCAAGTAAAAGATGCATTTTTATCCAACATGAAACCCATATTGATTTTCATGGATATGTCAAACTATACTCATTTTTTAGCATGACTACTAAATTGCAACTGCTGAACCTAAACCTTACAACCCATCTTTCCCTCCTAAAGAAAAATAAACACTACTGACAAAGTACAAAGACATCCACTGTTTTTCTGCACCAAACCAACTTCAAGAAAGAAAGAAAGAAAAAAAAGATTGCTCCTTCATGGTTTACATATTCAGTCATTTCTTATTTTAAGTGGGTTGCTCTGCTCCGCACAAGAAGTGACAAAACTTTGATTTGAAAGCAACATGTCAGGAACAAGCTAATTTCTCAAGAATCAACAAGAACATAACCATTTAATTTATGTAATTCTTTTCAGCTCTAAATCATACCTGTATTCAGCTCCACTTAAAACATAGAACATTCAACAAAGCAAGGTTAATAGTAGCACAGGACTCTTACCACAACAAATTTCTACCATTAAGGTATATAAAGGCAGGGTGACCCTAACTTCAAGAATAGACACGGATCATGTTGACTCCGGTTAAACTCAATCAAGTTCAAGCGGACACCTAAGTAAGCTGCTTCATAGGTTCAACTGAACCTTTGTCTAATACAACAGATACAACAATGTCTTAAAAAAGCATACCTTGTGAAAAGTTTTTGCTGCCTCTTCAGCAGTGCGATTACTTATGGCCTTCTCCGGAACCTCCAGCAATTTAGATGCACGGACTTTGGCATCATCCACACTTGTGGCACTCATCATCTCCCTCACAAACAAGTCCACCCATTCTGCACCATCAACAGGTAGATTTTCAGTGGCTGGTGGATTCTGAACACTCACAGCAGCAGCTTCTCCACCATTGGTCAATATACCTGAAAGTTCAGATGCAGATGTCAGCTCCACTTATTTAAGAAGTGGGGACATCCTAGTTTAATACAGAGCATGGCCTACTGAAATTGATGATGGTAACCACAGCATATTATTGAAGTATAAAGCCAAGGAGACATCAAACAGAGACAATAAAAATTAAAAGCCAGATTCCATATTTATCTATTTCATTCAAAATCAATTTAATTGGTTTAGATAAGGATCAAAAAGAAAAGAAGAAAAGGCAAATCAGCTGTTAAAGGATGCTTTTAAATGATTGTGTAATCTCACCGTATAAAGACTTTAAGATAGCCCACATTATTCCATTCTCAACGTGCATATGAATTTAACCATTGGATATACAGACTACCAAACAGATACCGGAAATTGAGAGCCGATTGCGATAGCTTCATGCACTTGATCGATCGACAATGAAGTTTTTTAGTTGCATCAGAGAAAGTATTTTGCAACATCAACCATCAATGAACAATATTAAAGGACATGAAAATCATGATGGAAATAATACAGATTGATAATAAATTATAAGAAATACAATTGCAAGAAACAGCGGCATACCCAGCTCTGCAGTTGTACCCAGATCCTCAAAAGGGCCGGACTCCACCCCTGCAGCACCTATGCAAAGCTCCTGTAGCCTCTTGATAGCAGTATCTATATCATTGCTACATTCTGATAATACTCTCTCCAAAAGCTGCAAGGAATGGTTGTTAGATATTGACAAAAGAGAGAGAGAAATCATTAATTTGACACCAAACCCTAATCTCTTAATGGACCGATGGATAAGTAAAAGCAAACACTTTCAAAATCTAAGCAACATAAAAGAAGACAAGAAGCTAATTTTGTAACCTCGCGCAACTTATTCAGTGTTTCTCTTTTTTCAAAAAGAAAGGACTATTTCCTCAGTTGTGGAAAATACATCAAGGAAGCCCCAACAACTCCACATCGAATTGAATAAAGATGATCATAGAAGTGAATATCTATATGCTCCGGCTTAATTGGGAGCTTGCAAAAGGAAAGGACTTGAAAACATCTCAATCTCAAAGGTTTTCCAATTACTGACTTCTTTCATGGCTTCAATCCACACCATTGCACTTGTTAGGATTTTACCAAAAATCTATTGAAATTTCCTTCTTTTCTTTTAAATGGATTTTACAATAACGAAGCAACAAAGCACTTCACCCAACATTAAAAAATAACTAGTAGTAAGATTCTGTTTGCTTGTGCAATAAGCCAACGGACGTAAAGGATACATAAATTAATGCAGGTTTAAAATTTTACCCCTTTCCCCACTTCCTAATCTCCGCATCCAAACATAAAAGCCAAAGCACTGAATCAATAAACAGTCACGCCTCAATCATAAACCTTTTGAAATCTAATTTGATTATACTACAATGACCAAATAAACCTTATATTTTTCATCTAATTAACACCTATATATATAAATACAAATTAAATTAAAAAGGATGGTAAACCTGAGGGTCGATGTTAGGGAAGAGGGTTTGGAGTTGTTCGAGGGTAGACGGAGGCGGAGAGAAGTGAACAGACGAAGGAGATGGAGGCGAGCAGCGCCGGAGCTTCTTGGATACAGAAGCTGACGGCGGCGACGGGATATCCTCGAAGAACGATCTCTTGCTCCCGCACACTGCCGCAGACATCCTTCGGTAAATCAAAGAAAATCTATCTTTCCGTCTGTATCAATCTAATTCACTCCCCCTCTCTCTAGAGGAAAAAGAAGAAGAAATAGGGTTTAGAAGTGACTTTTCTGTTTGGTGGAAGAAATCTTTTGAAAGGTTTTGCCTTTGGGCTTAGGGTTTTTTAATTTGTGGGAAATTCTTCTTATTATATTATATTCTGTTGTGTTGTTCGTTTTTTAATTTATTGTATTTTTTTGAATAGTTGTTTATTTATTATGGGTTCTGAAATTGGCGCGTGGGGTCAAATTTTCGGTTATAGTGATAATAAGAATAAAACGGAAATTAAAATCAATCAGTAATTATCTATTTAATAATTATCTATTATTTTTTTTTATTTTTAGTATTAATTCTATATTTAAAATATTTAACATTAAATTTGAGTTTATTCTAGTCACTTACTATTAAATTTAATTAAATTCCTTAATAATATAAATAAAATGCTTAAATTATTAATCAGAATTATTTATTTTCAAAAGGAACATAAATACTTTTTTCCATTTATCCAAGGGTCAAAAGAGCAAAATTCAATTTTCATATATAAAAGTGATTAAGATGAAATTTTCATCATTTACTGGGCAGGGACCAACCTTGGCTAGGCCCTTAATTGTAATTAATATTATAATTAATTAATTAGTACAATCGGGAAAAAAAAGATAGGGTACATTAAAAAGCGTGAATGGAATATATATATATATATATATGATAAAATTGAACAACATCAACAGGTACTGAATGCGATAAGACTTTATTAAAACTAAACTTACGTGGAAAAGTAAAACTAAAACAGACTCACAGATGAACTGGTTTCATGGTAAAGAGATTACGCAGTGCAACCCAAGGTTTGAAAGAAAAACACTAATCGATTTTTGAAGTAGTATTCACTGGGGAACCAAAGTTCATCCGAGAACCAGATCGTCTTGTCTGCATGTTTCAGCACCAACTCCACTACCTGGAAAGTAAACAAATGAACTAATTAAGCAAATTAGCAAAGTAAAAGGAACTTATTGCATGGTAACATTTAACTGATACCCGAAGGTTCAGAGCAATTAATCTGTTGCCGGCTCCACAAGATATACAATGGCTTTTCATTTAGTCCATGTTGTCAATTTTATGAGAGAAACTTGTGTGAAACGGATATGCTCAATTTCATTCTAATCTCTTACCTCACGCAGTCCAACAACACATGCACATTCAACCAATTGTGCCCCAACTCGTTATAGTAAACACCATCGGTAACAAAATTTCATTTTCAGAAACTAGTAAATGGTATATATGCTAAAGGAAGTGTACATGGATGAAGTACAAATAATTATGACCTAATAGTATTGCAGCAGCACGAGTTCCCCCTGTAGCCACCAAGTCGTCGATAACTAAGACGCGTTCCCCAGGTTGAACAGCTCCGACATGCATCTCTAAACAGTCCTTGTCGTCTTCCAGTATGTATGCTTCGGAGATCACCTCTCCAGGTTGTCAAATGGTGAGAAGGGCTTAAATTGCATGTTTCACCATACAATCAAACTCATATATACCTGGCAACTTCCTGGGTTTACGTGAGGGAACAAACTTGACACCCAATGCAATCGAGGGACCAAACATAAATCCTCTAGCTTCAACTCCTACAATCTCAATTCACCATGTAAGCATAATAGAACCAAGCACCTACTACAGTTATGACATTATTTGGCTGCAATTTTGTCTACAAAAAAAGACGAGAGTAATTTCATATTAAACATGAATTATCAGATCTAATGAGAAGTGAAAAAAAAGAGAGTTAGAGGATACCGGCGACAATAGAATACCCATCTCTCTATAACGATCAACAAAGATCGACGGTATCTTTGAAGGTCACGTGATCAAGTAGAAGTGTCGTTATGTCTTGGAACATAAAAACATCAAACACCAAAAAAATTTAACATTTATTACCAAACAACAAGACATCTTTTACACTTTTTATTTTATGCTTTCAGAACACCGACAAAGAAAAGAGGAAAAAAGAGTAATTTCATATTAAACATGAATTATCAGATCTAATGAGAAGTGAAAAAAAAGAGAGTTAGGATACCGGCGACAATAGAATACCCATATCTCTATAACGATCAACAAAGATGTCGACGGTATCTTTGAAGGTCACGTGATCAAGTAGAAGTGTCGTTATGTCTTGGAACATAAAACATCAAACCAACAAAAAAATTAACATTTTATTACCAAACAACAAGACATCTTTTACACTTTTTATTTTATGCTTTCAGAACACCGACAAAGAAAAAGAGAAAAAGTTTTTCTGATAAGCTAAGGGAGAAGAAGAAAAAAAAAACCTGGCTTTGGGATGTGAGGCACAACTCTAATGCTTCAAAAATGGCCTTCAACCTTGGGTCATCTTGTAAACCATTCTGATCTCCTGCAAACATGTTTTTTCCCCTGTAATAAGCTTGTTTTTTACCGTCTTAAATTGCTCTAGTGTTGGAATTAAAAAAAAACCAGTGTTCTTGTTGGCTTCTGCTGTGGCTTAACTTAAAAAGAAGGAAGAAAGGGTAAATTATAATAATTTATGTATCTTTGTTGACAAAAAGCACCACCGAAGAAGATCCAACTGCTCAGTGTCATTATTTATAGCCTCCTTTTCTAATTTTATTTGCGTTCTTCTTAGTGGATAGGCCGATGTCAGTCTCAAAATTCTTATATTTCAAGTACCTTTTGATTGATACTGAATATTTGTTGCTTTAAATTAATAGAAAAAGTTATCATCCTCGTATAATTTAATTATTTTTCGTATGAATTTTTTAGATGCAATTAGTTTAAGTTTGTAGTTGTAAGTATTTCATTATAATTTTAAAAAATACTTTTTAAAAAATAAAATTAATGACTTCTATTTAAAAAAGAAACATTGTTTGTTAACATTTATGGAATTTAAAATAAAATGTTTGTTTATTGTTGTTTTTATGCTATGTAGTATTAGTAATTCGTTTTTTTATAAATTTGGTACGCTATTTATTATATTATTTCCGTGAGATGTTTTTTATTATATTTTATTATTTTATATTATTTATTAGTTATATAAACAAAAATTTCAATTGTATTTAAAAATAAGTGAATTTCTCATTTAAATTGTTGATCAGATACGTAATTATATAAAAAAAAATCAACATAAATTTGATTATTTTTTTCAAATAAAAACATATTTTATCTATATTTTTAAATACAGTTTTATTTGATTATGATTTTTATATAATTACTCATTTGAACTATAATTCAAATGAGAGACTCGCTTAATTTTTAAGTACAATTAGAAGAGTCAATTTAATGATGAAGATCAATTGATCCTTTCTAAATAATTAATTATTGTGAAAAAAATAATTTTAAGAGATTAATTTTATTTTTGTTTTTTATATAAATTTTAAATAATAATTTTAATTTTTAACTTTTATTTTCAATGAAATGGACACTAGATTCAAATTCAGAATATCAAAAAGTGGTGAATTGAAAATTTTTAGGGTTCAACGATTGTAGGCGACAATGATAGGTGACAACAAATGATAGTGACCAACGACGATGATGAGTATCGGTCAACGACGTGAATTTTGATTGGATTTATGAGTCAAATTGATATTTTTAAATAAATTTTATGTGTTAAATTAATATTTTATGTAAAATTTAAGGTCAAATCAAAATGTTGTCTAAAATTTAGAGATCAAGTTAAAATAAAACTATTTTAACTAATGTCACATCAATAAAGTAACAAAATTAACTGTTGGTGACTAAAATAAGATGGATTGGAAATAAAATGACCAAAACTAAATTTTTTAATATTCATAATTAAAATCGAACATGCTGAAAACATAAGAATCTCTAATATTATTTACTCTTAAAAATGTTTTTCATTCATAATATTTTTTTATTAATAGTTGAATATAATGTATTATTCATTCAAAAGACTTTTTATTATTTTAAAAATATATAATAAACATATATAATAATTTAAAATACGACAATAAAAATGATATTGTAAAATAGTAAGGGGAAGGACTTTTGTGTTGCAAATACGAACACATCATATCTTAGAAAAGCCAGATAATTGGGAAGATGCAAAGGGAACTAAATAGAGGACTGTTCATGTGCACGCGTGTGTACTGTCAACCATGATCATCATCTCTACATCATCTGATTTTTACTGGTTTTGGGTTTGCCAAGGCGGGAAGTTTTTATCTTACGCAGTCTTAATATACATAAGAAAATACGTTATTAGGAATATTATTTTTTTTAATATTTTCGATAAAAAATTACTTAAAACATTATTATTTTTATCGAAAATATTATTATTGGGTGTTTTACTAGGTTTGGTAATATATCTGATAAAACACTCCCCAAAACATTATTTTTTATACCAGATATATTATCAAATATGATAAAACGCCAAATAATAACATTTTCAGTAAAAATAATAATGTTTTATGTAATTTTTTATCGAAAATATTAAAAAATAATAAAATTTCTTATAGCGTATTTCTTTTATCGTATATTCGATTACTGCAAGTGATACTTCCCCGCCCAAGGCCCCCACTCTAAACACCTTATATCTCTCTAAGTTTTATTAAAGATGTAATATAAATAAACCAAAAATTCAAACCATCAAATAAAACTTCAGATCGAACTGATCCATCGAATAAGATGTTAATGTTCTTTTTAGTTTGAGCTTTATATTTGAACCGAAAAATACTGAGTTATAATGTAATTGAAACGATGAAATTAAATTAAGGGTAAAGTATATAAATGGTCACTGAACTTTTCAGATTCTTGCATTTAGGTGCCCTAACTTTTAAAACTTACAATATAGTCGCCAAACATTTAGTTCGTTTGTAATATGGTCCCCGACGTAACGGCCGTTTCATTGTCGTTAGGGTAAATTATATATAAATGGTCATTGAATTTTTTAGATGCTTGCATTTAGGTCCCCCAACTTTTAAAACTTGCAACATAGTCATAATTACATTCTAAACCCCAAAATCCAAAATGCTTCAATTACATTCTAAACCTCAAATTCCAAAATACATCAATTACATGCCCAACCACAAATTCATAATTCATTCTC